TATCATTATTCGTCAACTGTTGCAATTTTTCTCTGATTATGTTGTGTGCAATTTTTGGTGCGTGGTAATACTATCGAATCGATAGTATCGATTAATTTTTGACATGTTATTACTCTGCTACAGGTCTATCCTTCAAAATCTAAGACAGCTGATTGATTGGTTACTTGTGGAAATCTTATGTGAAAATCTTTCTTTCACGTTCTGGCTGTTTTGAAGAAAGGGTCTCTTGAGAAAATTAATTTTTTCTTCGCCCTAAAAAGGGATTTTGCACCTAATTTTCTTCTTAATTGAATTTATGGCACACTGAGTTTTCTTGCATTGTGTTTAATTTTCGTAAAGTGCTATAATTTTCGCAGATGTTATCGGATTTGAAAACAACCATTTCGGTAAGTTTGCTGTGCACGTTTTTTTCCTACAAGTAGATTTTGACTTTTTCCATTTAATCATTAGTGAAAAGCTGCCCTAAAGAGTTAGTACAGTCATACAAGGATTCATCTGCCGAAAAAATCCGAGTGAGCCTAAATTTTGTCTACACCTTTATTTTACCTCAAGAATTAATGTATTAAAAGTCCCCACCGATATCTTGTTGGCGTTCCAAGATATTCAAGGTCAAATATCACAGTAATGAGTTTTTCTTAAATATTTTGCTTTTGGTCCTACGACTATTTTGGCAAAAATATTGGAAAATTCTCTTCAAAAAATGTTATTTACATATTTTACGTCATACCAACCTTTCCACCTGATACGCCAGGAAAACAGAGGGTAGCACCCGTTTCCATACCACCCCAGAGGTGAGATGCAAGGCGCGTTTTTTTTATATTGTATTTTTACTGTAGGCCTAATCCTGTAACATTTTCAATTTCTTGGCTAATAAGCTACCTTGTTTTGCTTTAGTAGATATGATTCCATATAGAACTACAATGAAATAAATGAATAAACAACTATCTTTTTTGTGCCCAGATTTTGTTACCTTGATAACTGCCTTCTACTGAAAGTTTTTTTGGTGCAGGTTTGCAAGTTTTGTTAATTGATCTAGGAAGGTTTGATTCAGCACGGCAGGGCCCGCTGTTATTGATTAGAATCTTAGGAAAAGGAGGTAGTACCATCATCATCTCTGTTTGCAAATCCAATCAGTAATCTGAGGTTATGATAATAATTGTTGTTTAATCTTTGACTTTTCATTTCCATCATGTCATTGAACAGCTGTTTTGTCTAGGCGTTTTCTTTAGACCTGTTCTACCTTTTGATATATGTTCTATAGGCACTTTTCAACATTCACCAGTCATTTTTTACACAACCGATTCTCAGTTCGTACTTTTGGGGTGAAACTGAACACGTCCTTTTCTATAATTTTCTTCAATGTCAAAATTAGAAGTTTGACAGATGAAAGTCTTCTTCCGAAATCTAAATTCGAAATGAAGAATCTGCCCTTTTGATCTGCGACCTCACGCTGAGTAGTCGTCCGGTCTCGGGCCTCGGCCCTAATTATTTTTGGGGCGAGACTTTTTGGAATTTTGTGCCAGGGAGCTCAAGTTTTAGACTAATTTCTTGCTGATAATTGTCTAGAGTCGTCCCTTGGTCATTTTTGGATTCTGTTTCGGTAAGTTTGAGATTTTCTTCAGGAAATATTAACCTACAACACGTGTTCCATTTTTTTTTAATAGGACTGTTCCGAGCAGCATTTGGAAGTTTAAGACTTCACCTTTGGTCTAGAGTATCCCTCAATTTGAGGTAAGATTATTTCTAATATTTGGGGCTCGATTTTTTTTTTTATACGAACATCGTTATAGGGTCCTAGTCTTAGGACAGTTGCTAAGCTGTATTTAGAGAGATTCTGGACTGGATCTGGATTGCTCTCGGTTGGGGCTTTGGTAGCCATTCTTTAGCAACTCTCTTGGTGCCACTCTGGCAGGACCACGTCGAGTTCTACGTTGAACGGATACAACGTGGATAGGACTCATGACTCACTTACCATACCTTAGCCTATCTATAGTGAGACCAAACCTGTAGATAATCTCACTTTGGAAACTTCTGGATTTTCACATACATTTCACTTGTATACATGTAAGTTGCACCTTTACTATTTAGGCAAATCTTATATAAATCATCTGACACCGAATTACGTCGGTAAGTGCCCCTTAAATAAAATTCTAGAATTTTACCCTGAGGTTGCCCTAACAATAACTTTCATCTTTCTGTGTTTAATTTGCCTGTTGGTAAAGTGTAACCCATACTGTTTTTTTTAATCTTCCACAAGTGTAAATACCAAAAGGTTTTTAGCCATGTTTACTTGGAATTCATATTTATATATGCATTATTTACATTCATTCTTTTGATAATCAAATAATATTTATAAATTGGTACAAACCATAATGTATACACATTTTTAACAACGTCCTGGCTATCCCTATTCATTATTGTTATTATTTTTTTAATAAAGAAGCCAGATACATTATTGTATCTAATTAGTTGTTTTATTGATAAGCTCTCCAATTGCACAGGTTTTGTTTATAACATTATTAGGTTATCTTCCTAGTTAAGTCACAATTAACTTGGTGGCGCCCAAAGGTAAGATGTATACAAGGAACCCATAGACCCATGGCCGCCGAACTGATGCTGACTAGCCGTATGCAGTATAATTAGGCAATTGCCAAAATAAGTACGTTATAATCCATGAACTTTCTTGTTGTGACTCTTAGATGTAGGATGTGCAATCTTCATTCTCGTAATCTGTCCCCTCTTCCACGACGTACAACATTTTCAAATAATAGTCATTGATCTAGATTTACCTACTTGTTATGACAATATTTTTGCCGTATCTTTCTGTTAATTTTTTATGTTGATTATTGTTGAATCGTCCGGGACATAATCCAGTTGAATTTTTTTCAATTGACCCAACGTAAACTGGCAATCCTCGTTATTTTCAATGTAATAGATTTTTTTTTTTCCCTTGCCTCAATTATTCTTTCATCTAATGAACGACCTTTGGAACTACCCGATTTTGGTTTAATAAAAGAATCAAAACACTTATTATGATACCTTGCTTCTGCAGCTACTTAATCGTATTCAAAAATAATACGGTCTCTAACGGTTTTTCCATAGGCCGAAGACACAATGACCAATACAAGGTACAAATGACAGATACAAAATACAAAGAAATCGAAATTCTGTTTGTATCCTGTATCCCTTTATTCTGGGTTATAGCATTGATACACGTGTTATTATATTTTTATCTCTTGTCACTTGTACCTTGTATTTGTTATTGTGTCTTCGGTCTTACGTATCACTGCCTTAATAACAGTATCTTCAAATAAGAGTGTAGTTATTTATTCTAATTATACATTGATATTTCTTAGTTTTTTTTTTGTCTTTTTCCTCGTTGGCTTCTTCACCAAAGTTTTTGAATCAAAAGATCCCAAGCTAGAGCGTGTTTTGCGAAGAAAATACTATACCGGCAACATCGTCATCTCGTCGTCATCTATATGACATTATGCTACTCCCCTAGGACACTAACCTCCAATTCGAGGATTGATGCAGGTTTTCCTTATGACGAACTGGATTTTTCGAAAACCGTATTTCGCGCCCGGAGGATTTAAACGATGGCTCTCTCTTTTCTTTCTTCGTGCTCGTAAGCTCGTAAGTTCGCACCAACAATACTAGGGGGCCACGTTCACTGGCCACCTAAAGCGATCCCGATAGTGAGGGGACCCACGCAAAGTATTGTCAGCCCAATACGCGATCCCAGTCCAGGGTAAGCAAGTCACCAAACTTCTGTCGAGAAAAATAAGGGGACTTTTAGATGCTACTATGTATACTCCTTGAGATAGTTTTTATGTACTGTTACCCCTTAAACGTTCTGCAGGTTCACCTTGTCTTTTCGCACTTGCGTCTCTCAAAGCATCTATACCGCCTTTTACAGTCACTGTAACACCTTTCAAGAGCGATTGACTGCAACTGATGGGTAATTAAATCACAAAACGAAACTTCTAGACTTCTTGCCAACTGGATTTGAACTGACTTACATCTATTGAATGCGATTAAAGCCGGCGCCACACGATGTGTCCAACCATTGGTCTCAACGTTGGATCCAACGTTGGGTGTAGTGTTGCACTTTACCATTTGGCAAATATACGTACTTGCACCAAGGTGACAAGTGAAACAAAACAACACTTATTATTAAGGGTAATTTAGCTAGACATAACCTGGTTCAGGTGGTTGCTTATTTATGCCAACTCGCTTGTAGTTCTGGTTACAACAGTGAAAGGTAACCGCTCCGACAACTTATTATTCATTTAATTTTTTATTTTTTTTCTTATTTCTTTTCACTTCATATTTTCAACTTTTCATGTTTTACATTTTTTTTTCATTATTCATTTGGTTATTGAGTTTCAATAACATTTCCACATTTAAATTTAATTGTTTATGACTATAGCAATTATTTCAGTAGTATAGGATTTCTGTATTTGTTAGTTGACACTTCATTACAAGGTCATTTTATTAATTAACTTAATGACAGTTCAGTGATTGTACATTTTCTTAAATAGCAGCTACGCTTTCTTACGATAGAATCTCGTGTCTGTACAGGAGTTCGACAATTACACGGTAAAGACGTCGAAACAAGTTCGTATGCCGATCAATTAAATACTCAAGTCTTGAAGTTTACCAAACAGTTCACACTAGTTAGGTGATATTGAGGACAAACTTTGGTTCAACTATGATGACACTAATGGCAAAAAGTCAACACCAAGAGTCAACCGACAACTCAAAAACTCTTCAGTTACACGAAGATGACCGTGAAAGGCCGTTCCCTATTCTGTTTTGAACAGCAAGTTCCAGTAATTAGGTTTATTAATGTTTTTAGTTTTAAGTATATCACATTTTTATTTTCGCTCCGAAACCACAGTACATAGTGTCATTTGTAACTATCGTTATTAAATTGATTAAGTAGATTCTAAAGTATCAGCACTTAGACTCACGCTAAGTTTTAAAAAGTTACTTACCATTACGAGAAATAATATCCCCATTTTCATTCGTCCAATAATTGATTGCTTTGGGAAACGCTTCCGAGTGACATTCTAGGGCTATTTTCTGACTGTCATAAGCTCCCACCAGTTGATTTTTAATCCATACCATTGGAGGAACTAAACATTTAAAAAAAAAAGACAGTCATATATAATACACCTCGGAGTTCTATTGAATGAAAATAATTGTTTGTTGCTTTAGAATAGATTTTCTTGAATAAAGCTCCTGGCTTTATCTAATATATATTGTAAGGCGCGTTTCGCGTTTCCACTGATAAAACCCGTCGCGTCGTTATGTTCCTGTTGTTGTGTGTACTTACAATGGGTAATGAGCATAATGCGCTTGCTGACTGAAGGCGGAACTCCGTTTGACGCGATGCACAAATAGGGGCCCATATGCTGTCTGCCCACCCGTGTCAAGTTCAATAATGAGCCTTCTGCGACTGCAACTGAAACAGAAACCCACCCAGAAAATTATTATTCCATAATGACGGGGGTGACACGGCAGAGTGGCTCGAACGAACACAGAGGACTTGTCAGCAATTAAGTCAAACCCTCCGACCAAAGTCTAATGTTGCAGAAAATGCGACGCTTTTAAGCTCTAGCTCGTGTTTAATTGGACCGCCGAATTATTATTTACACTGGGGTGGTTTGGAAATTACTCTAGACAAACAATTTGCTTCGGTTAACAATAATTTAAATTCAAAACCACTATGTTTGCAATGATAATATAAGTATAGGTTAATGGTTCAACGGAAATTTAGTTTCTCCAATAAACTATAAACTACACGTACCTGGAATGGATCCGACCGTTGTCGGATATGGCATTTGTCCCTCTCTTAGTATGTCAAAAGAAAGCTATATGGTGGGGTATGGTATACCATTCTCTCCCTAGTTCATTGATGTTAGATTTCGTATATTCCTAACCTCAAATATAATATTTTTTAGACAAGGAAAGATTTCTATAATTTGCCAATAAGATTAATAGAGATAGGTATCCCCCACGTAACGTGTAGTTTATAGTTCATTGCATTTTCCAGAGTACATAAATCAAGTGTTCCTATGCCTACTTACAGGGTGAAAAGTTTACCTTTAAGATATTCTCTACATTCAGCGCCAATGAGACATTGGTGCTCGGGAGAAAAATTTTCAGAACGTTAACGTAAACCTCAATTCTAATTTTGGTTAAACATTGGCAAAATTTGATTGTGAAAATTGAGAAAATATCGAGCATAAGGTACAAACTATTTGTTTTTTAGATTTCGTTGGAGTCAACATCTTAATTGTCTTGTGGAAGAATGTAATGCGCGGAAATTGTATTTTATATAGTTAATAACACAAGTTAAATTGTACATAATCGAATAGATATTCATTTCCTGATTTCAAAAGTATATAATATTGTCATAGATTCAGGGTTCACTGAAACTCATTTCACAAGCAGTAGGTAACAACTTTTGACTTTTGACTTTGTAAACTTATATAAGTTATTACTTATCGAAATATACACGACAAATATCGAATTAAAACTGACTTAAACTCATTACTGCGACCCATTTATAATCGTAATCGCACTCTGGATTTAGCTAGAAAAACATCGAATCGAATATAATAGAATAGCAGGAAAAAGGCGCGCTGCACGACGTAAACAAGTACTTAATTTCTTAGAGTTCTAGCGCCGGATTGTCGATGCATTTTCGTGATACTGCTTCCGTCCTAAATCAGATCGTACCGATCTTACCTTTTGGACCGCGTTTGATTCTATACACCACGTCGTGTAGTCTCTTTATAATCGCCTTTTCATACTGGTGTTTGCTTGGGAGATCTACCTTTTTTCCTTTGAGGGTTATAGAGCCCAACTTTGCCATTCGCCTGGAAACCTGTAGAGTTTGCCTCAAAGTAATGTCTGGTTTTCATTCGATCACTTATAAACTCTGTCCTTTCTCTAACTATGTCATGGATGTCGAGCAGCTTTTTTCGCAGATCATCAGCATAGTCTTCGGCTCCCGTGTCAGCGACATCTAGCACCCTTCCGAACAAAACTTGGGCTGGTGTAATTCCTGTTGTATATACGGCTAACCTGTATGCCATCAGAAATGGGGCTACCTATATGCTAATCCCAATCATCTTGATGTTTGTCAACTACTTTGAATAGATGTTCCTCGATTGTCCTGTTGAATCTCTCAACCATGGCGTCGGATTGTGGATGCAATGCCGTTATTCTGGACTTGTAAATGTCTAGCAAAGTTTTTGAAGTAGTCGAGACTCGAAACTACGCCCTTGATCCGAGTGAAGTTTTAATGGGATCCTAAACCTAGTAGAAACATTATTGACGAGGGCTTTTGCAACTGTAGATGCTTCTTGATTTGGAATAGCGAAAACTTCTGGCCACTTGCTGAAATAATCCATGGCAACAAGCCTGTATCTGAGAAAAGTAAGTTGAAGACAAAGTCTCCATCTATTTTCTGGTCGGCACACCAAATGAAATAGATGGAGACTCTGTCTTTATCTTACTTGTCTCAAGCCTAGTTCCAGGATGGAACCTAAAATGGGTTTTGTTTTCTCTCTGCTGGACCCAAACGTGCTGATGAGCTGTCCACGGGTGGTCTGGCAGAGGGAAAACACTTCTCAATCAGTCCTTAATTGGACCGTTACCCAATTAAAAGCATATATTTGTTGCCACTTTGCGTAGCAGAAAATGGATCGGCTACGTCTATTGCTGTTCGTTTGAAAGGCATCCCCACGTTGTACTGCTTCATTTGTCCCTTAGATCGTATTTTGGATCCTTGACTTGCTGCGCACATTGTTGGAACCACGTCTTGATACCCTGGTAAAATTTCATCCAATAGAATCTGTCACGGATCTTGTCTAAGGTCTTGTTGATTCTCAAGTGAGCTCCAGAATTCCCATTGTGAACTCCCAAAACTCGAACAACTTTTGTTCTGTTTTGACGAGTTTACCATCTGCACTCTTCTAGCCTCGTTTCAGTAAACCATTTTCGACTAGCAAGGACTTCCATTGGTCCCACAGCGCCTTTAAAGTTAAGTTTCTATTTCGATATTTTTGCCAGATTTGCGGTCCGGATTTTCCGGATTCCATCAGATTCAAAAATGGTTGTTGTCTTGTCACTATATCTTGTAATTGATCATTTCTAAGTTGTTCGAAACTCCATTCTTGGTTCGTTTTGAATTGGAAGCTTCTAGTTGCAACTTCACGCTGGGTCGATTCTTAGGCAGTGCTTGCATTGAGCTTGGTAAGGCATCTGCGTTATTATGCAGCTTACCAGAACGGTGTTTGATCTGAAAATTGTACTGCTGTAAATTCTTCAGCCATCTTTCTACCTGTCTTTCTGGTTCTTTCATGTTTAGAAGCCATTTGAGCGATGCATGGTCTCTTTTAATAAGAAATTCTTGTTCATAGAGGTACTTGTGGAAATGGTCAACTGCTCTGGCTCTGACTATTGCTAACAGTTCCTTTCTTGTCACGTAGTAATTTCTCTGGGGCTTGGTAAGCACTCTACTGTGATATTCAATCCATCTTATTTTTGCGACAGGACAGCTCCGATGCCTGTGTACAAAATAAATTTTTCATGTACCTACCCGTGGGTATCTGAATCTAGGACTGTAATATAGAGCTGCCTTTAACCTCCCAAAATCTACGTCACGGTCACAGTTGTTGGTCCAATCAAAAATAGGTTTTTCTTCATAAACAACCCATCTTTATACATGAATTTAATCCAAATTTATTGCAATGGTAGTTTCAGTGTGATGGTCGATGGTCTAGTTGGTCCAAATATGGTGAAACATCAATCAAATCAAAAAATTATCACAACAAATTAAACGAATATCTGCAGAAGGGTAAAGCATAGGGTGATTACTGCAAATCAGGTTTAGGAGCAGCCTAATTAATATTCAATTTAATTCTGTTTACCGTCGAAATTTTATGGAAGATTTAATAAGCTTGTCTTATTCTTAGGTACCTAACTGGAAACTACATTCTTGCCGAAATTTCGCCCACCGGTTATTATTATAAAACAGGAAAATCTTAAAAAATATTTCCGTATTCGATCAAATAGGGTCCTGAGCAGGGTTGCCATAATTTTTTTTCCCCATGGCATTCTCCAGTTTAAGGGGTATAAGAACGTGGCCGAACAATACAGTAATAGAGGCAGATGATTAGTTGAATTTTACGACATTTCTTTTATCGGTGGATAGAGTATATGTAAATGTTTAAACTTGAACGGTCATTCATTATTTTTAATATCAAGTTCTCACTAAGTACAAAGCATCAGCCAAGCTCACATACAAGCTCGAAAAAAAAAATTCATGGCTTGAAGAGACCTGTGTTCCATTATACAATGTGAAGAAAAACACCAAGGCGTGGTCTCATGGTCTACATGTTTCGTCCAATAATGGGCATCATCAGACCTATAAAAAGAAAACCTCTTACACTTAGAACAAGCATAGTACAGAAACACATATCTTCAACTGAACTCTCAGAGTGAGTGTTTCCAACAGACGCATACACTTCAATACATCTTTACAATAAAACTTCAAAAATAAATTCAACAAATGTGAAATATGTCCTGAAGCTGACAAGGGCAAGACAGGGCAGCCAAAAACCATACATAACCTAAACTACAATTATGGCCGTTTGCACCGACCATTTTGAGGAAGCCTTAGCGATAAGTATTCTTTAAAGTGACATTTATCCATGTAGAGATGTCATTTTAAGGAATACTTATCGCTAATGCTTCCTTAAAATGATCGGTGCAAACGGCCAGTAGGCATTCCAACGACCTGTCAAAAAGTGCGTTGTGGCAGAAGTTCATTATCCCGTATATGAGAGTATGTAATTTAAAGCTTTTTAAAGTGCATTTTGTGGTTGTTTTGTGAATGAACTCTGTTTATTTTTTTATTTGATTGACTTCATTAGTGTTTCTTCCAATTAAAAAGGCCACAAACGGGTCTTGAAGTTGATTGTGGAAGTAGTTTCAACAAGGTAACAAGGATGATGTCAGGCTTTTTTCATTGCCCTTTGTTTCAAAATTTTCCAATTAAAACGTGAAAATTTTTCACTACCACTATTCCTGCATCTGAAATAAAGCCATTTTCGAAATATTCGTAAGAATCTAAGCTTTTGTAGGCCTTCATTTGCTCATTAATGTGAACTGTGGATCAAAATGTCATCTGGACATTTTTTTAAACTAACCGTTCGCCCAGATCCCGATTTTCCTGCATTCAAGTCTTTAAATATTCACTCTGCATCTCAAAAAGTATATTATAACAAAGTAAACTGTAATTAGCTTGAAAATATTCCAAATAAACTCAAGATAAACAAACAAACGTCAAATTTTCCACGGTCGCCATATTGAAAAATCACGTGGTTTGGACAGCCTAATTCGTTGGGCATTGGGGTTGGGATTATTTATTTTCCAAAAACATTTGCTTTA